AAACGCTGCAAGAGATGGCTACCAACCGATGTCAATGGCGTTCTTGTTGTTAGTTTCTATCCGGATCGCCTGAGTGAGTGTCCCGAGGTATAGGCACCTCGGAACGGTTGTGGCAAGCAATCACTAAGTCCGTTCCCGTCCACCTTTACTTTTTTCTACACAATAAGGCTTTCAAATAAATCACAGTTGCAGAAATAACCTTTCGCACAGGTGGTCAATAAGCATTTTGGAATAGCAGACACCCGCCTGGCAATCAAAATAACTAAAGAAACGAAGTTGTCTTTTCTGTGAATTCGCAAAATAATTTGCCTATTTATACCTGTGTTTCAGTAGTTGAAATTAGAAAAACAATGGATTACGATTGGTTGCCAAATTTTCTGTTTGACCTATAATAAATCCGATATTTGAACTGTGAAATCGTCGAGGCAAATCGCTTGCTAGGTTTAGCTTCACTTAGAAACAAGATTTCGCTGATGGAGCGATTCGATGCTTCGGACGAGCTTAATTCATGAACTATTCAAATTGATTAGAAACGAACCAAGTCGGGGCAGCATCGTGGAGCATCGGTATCATGACATTCCCATTTGGATAATCAGAAAGAGTTCTCCTTTCGGTCCAGATGTGTTTTATTTGCCTCCATACCTGTCTTTCAGATGAATTCGACAGGGGTATATGAACTCTTCTTTGTGGCGAATACTACACTGATGATGGGTGTAAATGTATAGTTCAGAAACTTGCTGCAACATTTTTTCCCAAGCAGATTCTTGTGTATCTGTCTGGGTCGTGAGACCGTTAACAGTTTGTTCAACTGCCAACAACCAAGCCACAGGGAGATTGATATACAGTGTCTCATAAATAACGCAAAATTTAATTTTGTAAATAAACGTAACTAACTGAAAGAAGGATGATAACTTTTTCTCATAATCAGAATCCACATAAAGGAGGTTATGTGCGCAAATGTTGACATTTTTTATTTGCGATGAATGTTAGCACGCGCATTGAAATTGTGAAACTCTATTATTACCTTGGTGAAAACGCTACCGCTGCACTTCGTGGTTACAAAACCAAACATAGTCTCATCAAAGATCCTTTCATCGTGTCGACCGTTACACGCTTGATTGCAAAATTTGAGTTCCCCGATCTGTATTGGATTTTCCTGGAAAAGGGAGAGTCTCTGAGTGATGAAAGAGCGCCAATTTGTACAGAAGTCGTCGAGCAACTTTAGTCCCAGAGCACCAAGTCATTTTCGTCAATAACTCGGTGTCTCAGTTGACCGGCATTTTCGTGCTAGCATGCATCTCAGTATGGAACGCTAGATTGCTTACAATAAACCTCCGCAATGCTTGTATTCTCAAATAAAATATAATGAACGTTTAGATTAGCGTTAAGGTTTTAACATGAGTATTATTTTTTGCGTCTAATATGAGACATCCTGTACTTTAGAGAGTGCGTCCTGAAAAAAACAGATCAAGTTCCTTAGTTGTAACTCTTTTTTTCAAACCGCTGTTGGCAACTGTGAAGCGCTTAATCGCCAGTCAGATCAGCGGTCAGACGTTTACTCGTTTCTGATGACTGTCGAACACGGTTCTCTAGGGATGTCCGTTTGGCGTGTACATCGTTCAGAGGCAGCAATTCAGACCCGTCTGGTTGAGCAGTATACAGAGTCCGTGTAACCACGTGTACACAGATATGTACAGTGTCTCATAATAAACGCAAAAAATAATACCCACGGTAAAACTTGAACATTAATTCAGACGTTTATTGCATACATTCATCAAGGAGGTTTACTGTGAATAAACTGGCATTATAAAAAATGTTGAAAAAAACCGCTCCTCTTTTCTACAGCAAGTTGGAGGTGGTATGGGATGTGAGACACAGCATGTTTAATTTCTTCGAGCGTTACTCGTGCACACTCCTCTTCAATTCTTGCTCTTAACCCCACCAAATTCTTTGGTTTATTTTAATGATATACGCGAGTTTCGATCAGTCCCCAAAACTAATAATCCAGAGGTGTGAGATCGGGTTACCTTGCGGGCCAAAAGTTTGGAAATCCACGAGCAATGACTCTCTCATCAGAAAATTGCTCTTGGAGGTAAGTTCTCACTTGGTTTGAGTAGTGGGATGGAGTGCCATTTTGTCGAAAGACGGTCGATGACTTCTTGTGTTGCTTGAGTTGCGGGATAACATGCGTCTGCAG